TAATTATTTTAATAAAGTTAATAATTATTTTAAAAAATACATAATTAAAAAAAAATCAGTAAGTGATTCCCTCTTTTATTGTTAGATTACATTAATGAGACAGACGGCCTGTATATTAAGACCTACTTTAATGCACAGATATAATGTTGCACATCAGATGTTTTTCCCCAACAGTTAACCAAATGTTCACTTAAGACATAACAGATATTTTGAAATACCGTCTTTTTGCACACACTTCAGATGTCAGTCAGCGCTATCGTTTTGTTTACATCAGCATGGGTTTGAACATCACATTTCATGGGTTCAGACTCATGCCATCGAGAATTCTCTATGAATATTCACAAAGCTGGAATGCTGCGCTTTACAATGTTAAACTTGTGCAGAGGGGAAGCAGCAGTCGTCAAGAAACGAGCAGAGAAAAAGGTACACCTCTCAGAAAACATACAAATAAAGATCATTTTAGAGGTTGAATTACTATTTGGAAAATTGGGATCGCTAGATGAGGGCTACATTTTGTGAAAAACTCAAATTCGACCAAAATTGAAATTTTTCAATTTTTTTGCCTGTAGCTCAAAATTAGCCCATTTGCATTCTGACTCATTTTGCCAGCACGGGTGTATCAGAAGAAAACAAAAAAGATTGCAAGCGTCTCGAGATTCACTTTTATGAGGCTTGCTCCAGAAATAACGGACAGCAGAAAATAGCAAAACAGCAGTCGAAAATTACTTAAAAATGCGAAGAATTGCAGCAAATCTGTCAAAGGCATCCATTTAATGCATGTTAGCATAGAAAAACAATTAAACAGTTAATGAAACAGACAATTAAAAGTGTGGTGGAATGCAAAAACACATTGTGCGTGAGCCGGCCCTTATTCTTTCACCCTCACGGCTTTGCACGTCTCTGTTGCACATATCGTAACCTGTCAGACTTTTGTATGCTTAATTTACTTCCAGCCACTAACACACAACAAGATTCAGTCAGCGATCTCCCTCTGCGATATTCGACCATCATGCTTCCGCCATGGCCCCTCTTTGTCCCCCAGAGGATGCATGTGTTGTTCCATAGGGTTCCCCAGGGGCGGATGATAATTGTGTAGCAGGTAAACAGGGCAGGCTGACAGCTTCTCTGAGTGGAAGCACTCCTGACGGGTGATGCTTGTTCAATTTTCCCCCACTGGCTCCACACGGCTCTCCGGATGACTTTAGCACCACAACACCGGCAATTAGACTCAGCCTGACCAGAGCGGCGAGGCACGGCTCGGACCACCCACAACAAACACACACACAAAACATCCCCCCTCAATCTTCTACAGCACCAAACCCCATTACTGGGAGAAAAGAGAAGTAAGAGAGCAAGTGTGAGCTGTGAGATGGAAAGGTGAGAGGTACAGAAGGTGTGAGAGATAAAGATAGAAGAATTACGGAAGTGGGATTGAGAGGATGTTGGGAAAGGCATGATAATAAGACCCTCGGAATGGCCTGATTCTTTTATTCGGCTGAATAAAAGATCCAATGCCGCTTTTATAGCATAACGCCAGCGTTCGCACACGGACGGCTTGACACAAGCAGAGTTTTAAGAGTTATTTAGTTGGAAAAGTGATGACAAATCTCTCTCTTTTTCTGTTCCCTCCTTTTCCTCCGAGGTCTCTTTTGGTTCATGGCTACGTCCAGAGGCGTTTTGATGTGCTCTGTTAAAGGGACTTTGATATAACCAGTCACTGTTCCGTGTGTGCTGTGCTAAAGCTGTTTGCCTGAGTGTCAAAGAGAGAGTGAGAGAGAGAGAGATGCAGGAGAGGTACAGAGCAGAGATGTGCAAAACTACATATTTTCAAAATGAACTAGCCTGTGGTTTGTCAGAATGACTATTCAACTAATTGTGTATAATTAGGCGGCTTTAGGGTTTTGCAATCAAAAACAACTGGACGAAAAGGGTTCGAAGCATATGTTTAAAAGTAATATCCTTTAACTTGACATCTTGTAAACTGCAATTCTTATCACATATTTTTTTAATTCATATTTACAGTAAACATCATAAACATTGAATAGGATATATTTGCTTAATATATTATGCAAAATTGCGTCATGTATTAAGAAATGCATTTTTCCCTTGTTCTTCACTATATTTTAAGCTTATAACAAGAATATAAAAAAATATTAGTTTTTTTTTATTAAAACTATTTTATTTCAAATTAAATGTAATTTTAAAAATATTTGTTTAATCTTTTGTATATAAAATAATACTTATTATCTTTTTAAATTTGCACAACTTTTGCATACTTTTTAATTTTAACGAAACTTAATTTTATTTTTTATAGATATTTTTTAATATGTAATCTTGTTATAAGAATGAGATCTAGCGAAGAAAAAAAAAGACCTTTTTAATATATCATGCAATTTTGCGTAATATATTAAGTAAGTATATCTTGTTCATATATGTTTGCGTATTTTTACTGGAAAACAAGACAACAATATCAAGTAATTAAAATATGTTATAAGCATTGCAGTGTATTGCATATTGGTAAAATATATAAATTATTATTGTTATTGTTATTACAAAATAAAATTGTGAAAATATGTATGAAAACAAGTTTCATATATTATGCAATTTTGCTTCTCAAGTAAATGTATCTTGTTTTAATGATGTTCAGATAGCTTGCTGACGAACAAGGCAAAAATAGGGACCAATTTGGACCAATCCTGTGCAGCTAATGCAGATATTGATGGGAACTAAGAAGGCATTACACACACACACACACACACACACACACACACACACTCACTCACTCACTCGGTGGTTATTTTTGTGTGGGAAGGTCAGTCTTTGACCTTGGCACTTTGGCCAGTGAGACAGTGGGTAACTGTTCTGGGGTCAGCGTGCCTCTACTGTAAGGATGGACTTGGTTCAGAGACCCAGTTCTCACCCTTTCATTCCTTCAGTACAGTTCAGATCATATAATCCAGCACCAGGTAAGAAAGACAGCAGCATGTGTGGAGCGGCTGGTTCGGTGAACTGTGCACCAGACATATTTGTTCACTGCATAATGTTTTTCTTGACATTTCTTGTATACATTTTCAGGATTTACATTTCATTCCATCTAGGTGGATTCAGTCAGGTATGTGGGCATAAGTCACTGAATCCAATGTGTTATGTTTAAAGCTGATCACTTTAAATGAATAAACAGTGTTATTATACTGCTGTGATATTTCACACTGTTCAATTGTTAGAATATGAAATGCAAGAATGATATTTAATATATAGATTATTTGTAGTTAGATAAGTCATTATTGCATTTTTGATGACATTTAACCTAAGCAATAAAGTCTTGAACTGGCACAAACATGTAGAGTAGGGCTGCACGATAAATCGCATGTGATATTTAACGCGCATCTAGTGTAGAGGGAGAAGAGCAGTGGGTCCAGCAATGGTCCAGTGCTGTCCTTCAACACCAGCCTCTCAAACGACTTCATGACCACAGATGTTAGAGCCACAGGTCTGTAGTCATTAAATCCTGTTATCTTGGGTTTCTTTGGGCCGGGGATGATGGTGGAGCATTTGAAGCAGGCAGGGACTATGCACAGTTCCAGTGATCTGTTGCAGATCTGTGAAAAGATAATAATAATAACAAGCATGTGATATTTAACGCGCATCTTGTCAGAAAAGCCGGTTCTGTAATCAGCGGTAAATCTCCGTCACGTGCGTGCTTTCACATTGAGCAGCATTAACTACACAGAGCCGTTGTTCACTGACGAGTTGTGCAAAATCACGTTCATATTCGCGCGATTTTTTGCGCAGCTCGTCAGTGAACAACGGCTCTGTGTAGTTAATGCTGCTCAATGTGAAAGCCCGCAGGTGATGGAGATTTACCGCTGATTACAGAACCGGCTTTCTGACAAGATGCGCATTAAATATCGCATGCG